CCCTGTGCTTGTCTCTGGCTGGGAACTTACTGTTGACCTCAGGAGACCCCTTATTAAAAGAGGGGTGCAATATGTGTGAGAAGAGGGTAACAATACAGCCAACTTCATTCTTAGCTTCTCTTATTTCCCTGGGGTAGGAGAGGAAGGGTGGACAGGCCACTTCAGCAGATGGAAGAAAAGGAAGGACAAAGGGCTCTTAATTCAAGGCCACTACTGGAGAGAAAGACAGCCAACACTAAAAACCCAAACTATCACGATTTTAGAAAATATTCTGAAGCTAAAGTAACTTAATACATTAGAAGGACTCATTCCCATAATAATAGCAAAATTCCCAACTTCAGATGAGGAGCCCTTTATTCTATGACTGCTTTTGTTTTTAATATTTATTTTTATTTGATGTATATAGCTGTGCACCCCTGAAACTAGAGTTACAGACAGTTGTAAGCTGCCATATGGGTATTAAGAATGGAACCTGGGTCCTCAGGTCCTCTGCAAGAACAGCCAGTGCTCCTAATCACTAACCATTAAGCCACCTGCCCAGCCCAGCTGTTTATTCAAAACATGGTTTCAATTCATTGACCTTTTCTAAGTGTATAACATTTCTTTGTGACGTCATTCTTTTCTGTAAAAGTTTCAAGTGACTTTCTTTGAAGAGAGCTATTAAATGCCAATGATTATAGGAAACATTTGTTCATAATTACCCAGACATCCACTAGAACAATGCTGAAACAAGAGCAGCATGCAAAAATGTATTTAAGGACTATCATCCCAAAATGCTGCTAAAAGCTATTAACCAGTATGTGTTAATTGCCACGGCATTCATATTAATTTTCACTTCAGGCTCGACATTGTGGAATATTTCCCCTGATACATTTTAAACAAAGTTTAATTTAAGGAACTGCTTCTATCAACACTTATGAAAATTAACAGCCAAGCAATTAGCAGTTGTGAATTATCCCCTCCCCCACACCCTGCAGTTTCCCGTTAAAACAGTTTCTAACTGAGAAGTGGCTACTTTCTAACAAGTTAACACAATCAAAGTCACAGCTGTTGGTGGGAACCAGCCCTCTTTTGCTTTTTTAAGCCTTTGTCTAGGCAAATAATGCACTCTCACATTTAAGGAATAGTATTTAGCTATGTCACAGTAGGTAGAATACCTAATGTTTTATTACAACTGCCAAGCAATTGCCAATGCACAACTATCTTTCCAACTGATTTTTAGTAGCCATTACCTTCCAAATAAATGAGAAGTAAGCAAGCAAATAAATAAATAATTATCTTGTTCTTCCTATGCCTAAAGCATCATCAAAAGGGTGCCTCTGCCTCCTGAGTGCTAGGATTAAAGGAGTGTGCCACCACACCTGGCTTAAATCCATTCTCTAAACATAAAGTTGGAGCCAAGAATGCAGCCCTGTGGTTGAACATATGTTTAGCATGTGTGTGTGTGTAAGAAACCCTTGGTTCACCCTCTAACAACTTGATTGGGCATGACACAGCACCTCCAGGACACTTAACCCACGGCCTCCCCCAGAGCCCACCCTCATCCTCCTCATCAAGCATCTCCAAGCAGAGCTCACATCCCCTAAAGTGAAAACAGAAGTTTCTGACCTCAACCTACAGCAGAGGTTGTGTTTTATGAAGGTTTCACAGAGGTTGTCTCTAACAGTCGCCAGAGTGGTAGCTCAATGGCAGAGTACCTCTCCATCACACAGGAAGCCCAGAGTCTCTCCTCAGAAAACACCACTCCTCCCACTCCCACACGCCCAAAACCAAACAAAAATAGAATTCATTCATGCAGATGCTAAGCTGGATTGTGTCTCAGCAGACCAAGTGTCACCTACAGCTCCTTGGAGCCTGCCTTGAACCTCTCTGAAACGCTCGGAAACAGACAATCTACAGATCCCAATCAAGTCACAGACACCACCATCTATTGACCACAGACAGTATAAACATTATAAGCCTGGCATGCCCCTCCCTCCAAACTGTCAAAACCGTAACTAAGTACAGACCTCCCAACTTTATGCTCTAAAAATGTATTAGCCTCAAAATATTTTTTATAAATTATTAGCTAACTACAGGAATCAAAATTATTTGAAACTACTGTCATTTAGGAAAAATGCTGAGATTAGACTCACTAAAACCAACAACTCACGTCTGCAGCTGTTAGACACCAGCTATGCTTGCTTAACTACCACAAGAGTCTAACTCCACACCCGAAACAAATCCTTTCTTCAAAGCCGACACAGCAGCATCCTGAGGACACAGAGTGCACAGCCACTAGTCTCTTGAGGAAATACATAATTAAGTAGTTTTTTAGCATATTTAATTAGACCCCAAACTCTTCCTGTCCCCTTCTCTCCCCGATTATGTACCATTTGCCCAGGAGACCTAAGCTACTCAGTTAATTATGTAAATAAGGCAGGCACTATTCCCAAAGAGAGCATCATGAATATTTGTAAAAAGAAAACGAAACACTGTACATGTTTTAGTGGCTTTAAAAATTCTTTGCAAATACATATATATTTATATACAGGTAATTATACAAGACATTTATTTACATATTCATATACAGTATTAAACACAAGAAAAACTGTTACATTTGAGGCAAAAACATGTAGTCCCAATAACAAGATGATGAACCGTTAAGACAGAATACTCATTTCATTTCTTAAATATGAGCTGAATAAAAATAAAATAATTTTAAGTTACAACAGTAACAAAAATTTAGTACTGAATGTCAGATGATTTATGGGAAGAATCAGTCTGGAAATGATTAAAGCTGACTTGTACAGAAAGGCTTTATTATCCAGGGGCTGACATGCTCTCAACTCTGGAGGCAGCCGTGGCGCTGTTAGCACGACTACAATCCCATTATTATGTAATCACAAAATGCTAATTTGATCTTTTTGAGGTGTTATTTGAATAGTCATTTTAATTTCTAGGTTACAAAAAGGCTTGACTCAAGTATAATTCTCTATTAATCACTGAGATGCCATTGACTATCATATTGATGCCTTTCACAAAGATAAAGACTGATTTAATATGTACAGTACAATATCCTTCAAATATTAGCCACTTTCATTACATATCTGCCAAATGCATCAATATTAAATAACAGATGAGAACAAGGGTTTAATTGTATTTTAGCACCGTAATATATGGGGTAATAATAAAACAGCAGGCATTGTAAGATAGACTTATCGATATATAAATCCTTCTTAATCAATGCTCACTCTCTATGGACTACCAAAAGGCCTATGATGACAAACCATAGGGCAACTTAAACATAAACACACATCCAACAAAACTTCAAGTGTGACTGAGGAAATAACATCTCCCTAGCTTTCAGAAGTCAGCTGCCTGTACCACCCAGTGCTCACAACTCTGACAATTCCAAACCTGGCTGATGGGGAGTAGGAAATCCAGGAATGCATTATTTTTGTGAAGTCTGAACTAGCTTGGAATGGAATTGAACTAAGTTGGCCTGGAAGCACACATTATCTATTCTATCCTTCATCATCAAACAATGGGACTGCATCAGCTACGGGAACTCTCACATCCCACCTCAGAAGAGCTTCTCACCCATCTAAATGCATCCTCAGCAGTGCAGCTGGAGACATTCCAGGATCCTGGGGAACCTTCCTTCCTTTTCCTACTTTCCACATCCCTGGGTATCATGGGTCGACTAAATAGAAGCTCAGAGCAATGCAATCTAAAAGGACTGGATGTGCTCTGGGGTGTTTTCTGGAGGAGCTCTGGAGCACCTGAAGGCCTGAATGTTACTCATGTGCTTTGTTTCTAGTTCTTGTTCTCCACCCTCAGACAGCAACAGCCTTAGTGCTGATGGCCATGTGCTGACTCCCACCTATGGAAGAAGGTAAGATGTTTCCAGAGAAAAAGATCTCTTTACTCAAAGATAATAACTGACAGAATTACCAAGTGAGGAAGAAAAATGCAAACATGAGCAAAGCACTGCCATTTATTAACTGCAATGGTGCTGAAATGAGATAAATCACATACGACCCCTCTAGGCAGCAAGCTATCACTCAGCACCCCACACCACTGCCAGGCAGCAAACACAGTCGCAATAAATTAAAAAATCAACTGTCTCCTAAAAAGGGCCCCACTCAGTTCAGAACTGAGGCTCAGAACATCACCAGGATCCTCCTGAAACAGTGGCCTTTTTCTAGAAGAAACACTAGAAAAATTTTATAACACCAAATTATTACTACAAATGGGAGGGAAAAATAAAAGTCACCATCCCTGTCAGTATCCAACAAGATCCCCCAAGAGTGAAAGACCAAAATGCAATGGCCTAGAAATGGCTTAGGTCTTTTCACAAGGAAAGATCTCACAGTTTCTGCAGTTGTAGACAATGGACAGGACAATGCAAACCACCTCCAGACCCACTTTCAAAACACAGCTCATCATCCGTCTACCCAGTCCGCCCTCCCAAGTACACGGAGATGAAACAGGTAAAGAAATAGGGACATCCAGCCGTCCCTTTGCTTCTACCCGTGTGTGTGTGTGTGTGTGTGTGTGTGTGTGTGTGTGTGTGTGTGTAGGGTAGGTGACAGAGAGGGGCATTTTTTAATTTGGCTTTAGAGACAAGTGCTTGCAATGTATATAGCTCAGGCCAGCTTCTAACTGTTTTGGCGTACTGAGTGTTAGAATTCTGGGTATATACCATCATATTCGGCTTTATTTACATATATTTTCTTTACATGTGTGCAAAATATGCATCTTGGAAAATGAAAGCAGTCCTGGACTCTAAGAACAGAGAAGCAAAGAGGGAGCATGCCAGACTCAGGCGTTAACCCTTCTAAATATCACTCTGGGAAGAGCGAGCCCATGCTTTTGCCTTTTTACATCTATGGTCTTAAAAATGTGGTGCTCTATAATAACTGAGGCAGTCTTAAACCTAAATCCAATAAAAATAGTAATGCCAACATCAACCTCCTCAGTCTTAAGGGGTGAAGCCTTTTTACTTTTGAACTTACCTTGCCATCAAACTTGGAGTACTCATTAAAGGGGTTGTTCAGCTGCAGAGGGCACTGCTCCAGGCGTACAGACAAGATGGACTGCTTGCCCGAACTTGGAGACTTCTCTTTGAGGGATTTTTTTTCAAACAGTGACTTTAACTCCTGGGCTGCGATAGAAAAGGATAAAAACATCGTTGTCAGTCTGTCCACCCTTCCTGCACGTGGAGAGATGGGTTGGGGTCAATGTATACAGAAAGCCTCAAACACACTTGAGGGCTGTGCACAGCAGGGGCAGCAAGCTCACACCTGCACAGCCCCGCAATGAGAAGGGAAGAATTCTGCAGCAAAGCAGCCTTCCTCAGAAGAGTGTTCACAGTGGGGCCTTCAGGCTTTAGAAGAAAAGCCTACTGCTGTGTGACACTCAATACTTCATTCCACCTCTCTGGTGTGTCAATCCAGAAAACCTCAGAGAGTTCTCTTGTGGCCCTACTACTATTTGACTTTAAAATTTTAGATCTTTAATGTCAAGGTCCTTTTACATTTTCCAGTGGCACCCAGCACAAAATCTTAAGGACAAAAACAGAGACAAGGAAAAGGAGGAACAAAGATGTAGCACTCCCTGTACATGCCAATGCAGCTTACCCTTCATAACAAGGCAGAGGTGGGCTGTAGTACTGCCAATTCTGTCAGCACAGAAACCAGCTTTGAGTATTCTGGTTAGGCCTGAATCATGCAGCTAGCTAACCCCAGGGCTGGGATCTATACCAATGGAGATGCTAATGAACACATCACAAACTCAATAAAACTTGCTGCATGATTGAAGGGATTCAAATTAAATTATATCACATCAAAATTTTCAGCTCTTATTTATCACTAACTCAAGACAGTTCCACAGTCTTCATGAAGATCATTTAGCTCTATAAATGACTACCCACCAAGGTAACCAGTGACCAGTGCGGTAACAAGGCAAGTACACGA